GCCGCACAGTCCCCGAGGTCGTGGGTTTACTCCCAGATCTACCGCTACCAGAGGCCCCAAGACTAAGCTGCAGGAGTGTCTCCTCGCTAGCCTTAGACGAGGCAAGTGACGCCAAACGCAGCCGCTACAACAAATTGAAAGAGGCCCATCACACTCTGGTGGCCTACCTACGGGACTACCACCCCACACTGGACGGGCGCTGGATGGATTTCGTCAAGGCAGTCGGCGCTGAGATCCCAGCACCGAAAGATGAGGAAACTCCCTGGCCCGCGCACCAGCTGACCCCCTTTCTGGCCAAGGTATGCGGCGCAAAGATTTCAGCCGGAGGGTGCCCCCTGGAACGGCACAAGATGGGCAGCAGCCAGGGTCGCAGGGCACCTACAGTGCAGCGCGAGGCACAAGGAGGCTTGGGTAGCTCACTACTTGGGCCTGGCCCTCAGCAAGGACCCGAGCCCCTTCCGCCCTGACCTCGTCGTCCTAGCCAGTTTTCTCGCCGGCCTGGGCCCCGGAGCTCTCGCAGCTGCTTCCATCGCCGCCCTCGCTGGACAAGACCCCCCGGCGGTGGGCGCGGACGAAGCCCACTCGGCGCCCCCAAGGGGGAGGACCTGGCTTGCGCCAAAGTCCGAGGGGGCAGCGGCGGCAGCGGACGAGGTAACCTCGGCCTCCAGTGCCCTGCCCAGCGGCGCGGCCCCCAAAGAGGCCGAGCCACGCGCGCCGCAGGCAGAATACGCCCGTCAGGCGGCAGAGCAGGAGGCGGCAGAAATCCCCTTTGGTAAAGAAGCAGTCTGCTCTCCAAAGAGCCCAGCGCCCACCGAGGAGGCCGACGGGGAAGGGACTGACTACGGCGGCGAGGCCGGCGCCGACAAGGCCCGGCCGGCGGTCTCGCCGCCGCTTGGTGAAGCAGCAGAGGCTACTCCCGACCTGGAAAGCAGCTCGCCCCCGCCCTCGCTCGACGCCGCAGGCGACGCGACCAGCGGCAGCCCCTCCGACGACCTCCCGAGCATCTTTGGCAGGGGCGCGGCCGGCGCAAGCAGGCCCGAGCAGGGCCGCGCAGGGGCCGAGGCCAGCGTCGGCTCGCCGCGCAGGGCAAGCCGCGACCCGCCGTGCAGGCAAGCGGCCCCAGCAGGCGCGCCCGGCAGCAGCAGTGCGCCAGCAGCAACTCCAGCGAGGCGTGACACGACCCCCCCGTGGAGGCACAGCAGGGCCGCGAGTCGGGTCTTCGACCTCGTCGACCCAGTAGACGGAGGCCGCGTGCGCAAGGATCTGGTGGGCAATGTCGAACTCGATAGGGTCGGCTAGACACCAGCAGCCAAGATAACGCGACTTCAGAAAGTCTTGGGAGGGGTCTTCAGCGGCGCCTGGCACGCCTGCGCCAGAAAGTACCCCGCGGGACCCGGAGGCAAGACGGAAAGTGACCCTGCGCGAAACTCCGAGGCATCTTGCCGCGACTTCCTGGACGCCTGGAAGCGCTGTGGGTTCGACGCCTACGAGATGGACCGTCGGCTTGACCTTCAGGTCGACCGGGGCCAGGGGCGCGCAGAATGGACGGGGGCCCAGGGCGAAGGCGCCCTCCAGCCAAAGGGCCGAGCGACAAGTTCCCATCAACCCTGGGACTGGGACACCTGGTCCTGGTCGCACGCCTGGGACGGCAATGACTGGCAAACTGAGGGCAAGCGAGGCGGCGATTACAGTGGCGACGGGAGAGGCGACGAGCGCTCCCGCACGTGGCGGCGGCCACCAGTGGCCGACAGCCACTCCCTGGCAGCGCTGCTGCTTCCCCCTCCACTCGCGGCAACTCCCCTGCGGCGGCCTCCAGCCGCCTGCCGGGCCCCCCACTCTCTCCCAGCGCTGCGGGCTCGCCCGCCCTGTCTCACACTGGACGCAGCCTGCCGCGCATGGGCGCGAAGGGCGCTGTTGCTATTTTGCAGTAGGTGCCGCCTTCAGCTGCTCCCTGGTACCCTGGTATGCGGCCAGCAGTGGGCCACAGCGGGCCACTCGGCACGGGGGCGCCAGGCCTTCTTTGCTCGGAGGACAGGCCCAGCAGCAGAGAGGATGCTCGCAGGGGCCGTTCACGACGGTGACACGACACGCGACCCGCGCTCCCACGCAGGGTGGGACGCCCTCTGCACTCGGCAAACCAGTGGCCGTCAGCCATTCCCTGGAAGCACTTCCTGCACAGCACTGCGGGCCTGCCCGCCCTTGTTTCGCCGTGGGCGCAGCCCGCCGCGCAAGGGCGTCATGATTGCTGTGGTCACCTTGCAGAAGCGCAGCCTTCCGCTGCTTCCTGGCCCCCTGGTATGCCGACCAGCAGTGGGCCGCAGCGGGCACTTCGGCACGGGGGCGCCGCGCCTTCCCTGCCCGGAGGACGGGCCCAGCAGCTGACAGAAGACTCACGGGGGCCTTTCACTGCGGCGACGGGCGAGGCGACGTGCGCTCCCGCACTTCGTGGTGTTCCCCTGCAATCGGCAAGCCAGTGGCCGTCAGCCACTCCCTGGTAGCGCTTTCTGCCCAGCTCCTGCTGCCCCCCGCCCTGGGGGTTCTGGCAGCTGCCTGCTGACAATGCGGGCGCGTGGACTGCCGCTGGGGCCGTGGTCCACCTGTCTTCGTTTGCCCTTGGCCTTGCTGTAGTTAGGCTATGTTTGCTGCGGCCACCTTGCAGAAGCGCAGCCTTCAGCTGCTTCCCGGCCCCCCGGTATGCAGTGGGCCGCAGCGGGCCACTCGGCACGGGGGCGCCGCGCCTTCCCTGCCCGGGGGACGGGCCCAGCAGCTGACAGAAGACTCACGGGGGCCTTTGACTGCGGCGACGGGCGAGGCGACATGCGCCCCCGCACTTCGTGGTGTTCCCCCTGCAATCGGCAAACCAGTGGCCGTCAGCCACTCCCTGGTAGCGCTTTCTGCCCAGCTCCCGCTGCCCCCCGCCCTGGGGGGTCTGGCAGCGGCCTGCTGACAATGCGGGCACGTGGACTGCCGGTGGGGCCGTGGTCCACCTGTCTTCGTTTGCCTTTGGCCTTGCCGCGGCTGTTTTCACCGCGATCGGCGCGCCCCGCCCCCCGCGCCCACAGGTGCCTGCCGTGGTTGAACGGCTCGCCCCCCGCGGTTGGGCTGCCCTGCCCCGCCCCTTCCTGGCCCCGCCCCCCGCTCAGGCGGCCGGGCGTCTCAGCGACTCCGTCAGCTCTGGCCCCCGGCCCCCCTTGCCCCAGCGGCTCAACCCCGCCCCGGGGCGCCCGGGGCTCCCGAGCGCACGCGGTTCAGCCTGTGCTCTCCTGACTGCAGGGCGATCGCGCGGCCCCCGGCGGCGATGCCCACGGCGTCCTCTTGCTCACTCGCCCCGGCCCTGAGACGTGGATCTCTGGTTTGGTCAGCTCTCAGTCGGCGGTTCCTGCTCGAGAGCGCGCGCGACTGCGCCTGAACCGGTGGTTCAGGCGTTTGACGCTGTCGACTACATCCATCGTTGCCATGGCTACTTCGCCCGCCCTTGGGACCATCCCGCGGATGGTCGTTCGCAGGATCAGCACTCCCTTCAGGTGACTTGGCGCGCGACTTTGGCGGCGCCACCCGATGCGCCAGTTTGGGCCAGTATAAGCACCCATGGCCGTCGACGCAGTGTACTGGCTGGTTGCCTCCCTGGTCACATCCTGGCATGACCCCGCGCCATTTTGGCTGCGCCCCAACCCTGGTTGGCTAATTTTGCGCGCGCGCGCCCCTGGACCTGGCCCCTGGCAGCTGCAGCGTTCACTCCCCTCACGCCGGCCCGCCCGCCGAGGCGCTGCTGAGGTCGCCGGCCCGTCGGCGTTAGGCAACTCGGCTCTTGCGCGGCCCGTTCGGACCTGACTCGCCGCTGGCGTTTTCGCCTGCGGTTGCGACAAAAAGAACCCCCACCGGCCCATCCAGAAACGATGCCCAGAGGAATTCCCTCGATCAGGGAAGCGGGCAGCACGCACAGGAAACCATGATGAGACATTTTATCTTGAGCCATCTTGGAGGTATGTCTGGGCTCTCCCAGGCGCTTTTGGAGTCATCTTAAGCAGTGCCGCCCCCCCCAAGAGGCCAACATGTGGCTAAAACCTGGGTGAAATCAATGATTTGGCATTCTCGCCGAGGCCTCTTGCAGCATCTTGGGTGCCTCTTGGGAGTCTCTTGGGTGCCTCTTGGGGGTCTCTTGGGGGCTCTTGGGGGTCTCTTGGGTGCCTCTTGGGGGCCTCCTGGGGGCCTCTTGGGGCCATCTTGGGGCCATATTGGGAAATATTCGAGCCTCTTGGGCGTTTTTTGGGGCCATATTGGAGGAAATCGATCAAACAATAGGGGGGCTTTAATTAGGGCCCCCCCCCCCTCAGGAAACCAGAGTGGGGCCCAAACCTTAGTAAAGCCAATGATTGGGGCTTCTTCACCGAGGCCGTTTTGGACGCTCCGACACCTCGCGGGGCCCCGTGTCCAGGTCCATGAGGAGGGGGGAAGGGGAGGGGGACCCCCCCCCCCCGAAAGGGAAAAGGGAGGGGTGGAAGAGGAAACTTTCCAAACCACCGACGCCCAGAGGGCTGGCGGGATTCAGTTCAGGTTGCGTCGTGGAGGTGCTCTTGGAGGCCTCTTGGGGCGTATTGGAGGCGCCTTGGGCCGTCTAGAGGCCATCTTGGGCGTCCTGGAACACGGGCCCTCTCGAGTTTTTTTTTTGCGGCATCTTGGACCTGATTGGCCGAAGGAGGGCCCGAAAAAGAGCAGGAGGGGACCGTTTTTCTGACCCAGGACCCCTCAGACCCCCCCCCCCCCGGGTCTGACTACCAGGGCACCCAGGGGCCCTTCTCGTCGCCGTCGTCCGTGACGTAAGTTTCTGAAGAGAATGAAGAATGTGATGCGAACCCTTTTCGCTGTGTGAAGCGGCGGCGCGCCAACCCGCGCCGTCCTGTGGCGGTGCACCGCCTGCCATATAATACCCACCCGCCCACTGCCGAGCCAAACAGGCTGCAGGGGCGGGAGACTCGAGCAGACCCCTCACGATATATCCATCATGAACATCCTCGAAACCAGACAGGGGGAAAAGAGATCTGCTCGAGCTTGTCGCGCGTGGCGCCGGCCGTGGCCACGTCGCTCGCAGGGGGCTGGGCCCGCCTCCTGCCTTCCAGGATCTTCTTGGCCTCGCTGTGGTCGGTCTCGGTCGTCTCGTCGAAGATCCCTTTACAAAGGGATGACCGTTTGCGAGCCGACAAGAACCTCTCGTCGTGAACGATCTTCCAGCGCTGGCTCTTCAGGAAAGAGTGGAGCACGTGCAAGGCCTGCTGGCTGGCTTTGGTCATGCCATCGGCCAGCTGTGCATGGCTGTGCACCCAGCGCACGATCGTCTCGCCCTCCTCGAGGGCCCGGCGCAAGGCGAGCGCCTCTATGGCCGTCCTCCTTTCATCGAGGCCCAAGCCGGCCGACTCAGACTTCACCACGCCGTCGTAGAACGCCTTGCAGTCCGTCACGAGAGCTCCTGGGATGTGATGCAGAGCAGCAGCACGGTTATGTAGATCGACCGAACCAAAGAGTACCTCGTAGAGCACCAGGCGCACCATCATCTGCTCGCCCTCCGCGTCGCTGGCCTCCTGGATCTCTGCGGACAGGCTGGACCTGGCAACCCGCTTGAGCTTGCGAGATCCCCAGTCCAAGACGGTAAAGTCGCATGCCTCCTGAAAAGGTCCTTCCGCCGAACTGAGAGCTGTGACGTGACCTCCTTGGGAATGCCCATCTGGTCGGCTGGCCCATGCAGCGTCGCACCAGGTGTAGATGCGAAAATCGGGACCACCTCGTCCGCATCCTGGCAGTTGGTGGCGAAAGATCTGGATGCCGTCAGTCCGATTGGCTTTGACCATCTTGGTAATGTTGTTCGCTATCGAAAAGAGCTTGTAGTCACCATTGGGTATCTTGCTTTGAACATCGGCAACCCATGCTGAAACCCAGAGAAGTGCATTGACACCAAGCCAAGAAAGAGCTCCACACCAAGTTCTCAGAGTACTCTGGTCCGCCTCGGTCAATCGGTCACCGGTCTTGGCCTTCGGGCACTTCGGGAAGATCTCCTTCAGCTTGTCAATGTAGCCCTGCCGGTGTTGGAAGAAACCCTTCTCGTTCCTCACGATCGTAACGCCGCACTGCTCGATGGAGTCGATCCCGTCGTCCATATCCTCCCAGGTGCCCCACGTGTAGAGGCCCTTGATGCTCTTCAGCGCCTTCCGCCATGCAGGATGGTCTCGGTCACCGCAGAGAATGAAGTCATCCACGTGGCGCATGATGAGCCCCAGCAGCGCCTTGGTCTCTGGGCAGCGTAGACTCCACAGACATGGTTCAAGGTCGCACGCTTGCAGTCCCAGCTTGGCGAAGTCCTGCTTCGCCGTCTGCCACCATTTGCGAGGAGCCTCGCCGATGCCGTAGCCTGGCTTCACCACGCGTAGCACTTGGCCAGGTTGAACACCAAACTCAGCAGATAGCGCATCGTCGGCTTCCACGAAGAGATCCTTCTTCAGGTCGCTCGCCTGCAAGAACGCACTGGTCACGTCGCCCTTGACGATGGTCCAGGAGTTGGCGGCCGCGACCGTGAGGAGTGGATTCCGAGCGCGGCGTGAGGCCGTTGGTGAGGCAGTCGGCTCCTGTCCGATGTCCTTAGTCTGGTAGCCGAGGAGGACGAGGCGCGCCTTCGCGGTCCCATCGCTCTTGCGCGTCAGTACCCAGTGGCACCTGATCACGTCCGCAGGGTCCTTTACTTCGGAAGCGGGGGCACGGCGGAGACCTTTGTACTGCTTCCAGTTGGCGACCTCCTTCGTCATGGCCTTGCGGAACTCAGCCTTCTCGGAGGGGGAAAGCTTTCCCCCCAGTGAAACTCGATATTATCCTTCCGCTTCTGGTTGGCGACGAAGCAGTCCAGAATCTGAGAAGTGAGACGACGTTCGCCCTGGCTGTCCGCAAGTCCGGACTTGGCCATCTCGAAGTAGGCCGTCATGTTGTCGGTCGATCAGCTCGAAGTCGGTGCCGTCCCTGTTCCCGTCGAAGGTGATCTGGGAGAAGAGCTCCTCGTTGTTGTCCTCGACTGTTGGCTTGCCCTCAGAGTAGGGCCCAGGTCGGTCCTGTCGTCGTTCGGCAGGTGACTGTCGGCGGGCGGTCTCGTCGCCCTTGGAGGCCATGCGCCAGCGTCGAGGCGGTAGTTCCGCAGGTGGGGCCGAGCCCGCTCTGGACGGTGAACTTAACCGAGACTGCTTTGAGACAGGCTGCTCGATGGAGGAGATACTTGAAGGGGAAGGCGGGGGCGATATTCAGGTGGTGTCGGCTCGCCGGCTGGTTCCGTACGTCCGTCCAAGTGATCAGGTTCAGCAGCTTCTCCGTCCATCCGATCGTCTTGGTCCTCAGGTGGTTCGGACGGCTGGATCGCCTGCGGTTCGAAATTCTGGATGCGCGGTCGGCACTCGTTGGTGAGGTCCTCGAACGTTCCGCGGCGGGCGACCTCCATCAAATCGGACATGGTAGCCCCGCGTCTCTCCATGTTGTTGAGTTCCACGACCATTCGTTCGGCCTCCGTAGCTGGACGCAGTTGCTCAAGAGCACACCGAAGTAGAACATCGCCGTGCGAGTTTCGCACGACTGAAGTTGGGCGGGTAGAGCCAGCAAGTACACGTTGTTCTTGAACTAAGACGCGCGCTGGACCATACCAGGGTGCCTTGACAGGCCCACGGCCCTTCCGCCAGTAGTAGCAGTGTTCGCCGGTGTTCCAGCGAGTAGTCACGCGGCTGCGGGCATGTTCTGCATGTCGGCGTCGCTCTGAGTACTCCACCTCGATGAAGCTCTGACGTGCCAGAAGTCGCCTCTGCTCCCGGGACTCTCCGTTGCTGTCGTCCACGATGGCAAAGGGGTTGCCTGATCCCCCATGGCCTCCAGTACCAAAGGCGTGTACGAAGGGTGAATGGTTCCCGACCTTGTCAAGATCGTTGATCGCATGCGTGACCTGGCTGATGGCTTCGTCGATGTCGCAGTCGTGATTCTGTTTCCTGAACTTAGTGAGAGTCCGCTTGAACAGCTGAATCCTGCGCTCAACCTTGCCCATTAGCCAGTGCGCTTCGCCAGGAGCGATGAACATCTCGATCCCGCGCGCACTGCGCCAGCTTTTGGTGAGTTCAGCTCGATGACATCCCTCAGCGTCGCAGCGAATGAGGCGAGGAGCGCGGTAGTGATTCGTCCACGATCTCCAGGTCTCTAGGAGGTCCGCTGCTGATCGGTTGCCGGACCTCTGGGACTTGTCGCCGTGGTTGAAGATCTGCGTGAGTCCAGACCCCTCGTCAAGGTTCAGCGTGAACAAGTAGGTCGTGTCGTCAACAGGGTCGGTCCACTCGAGACCGTCACTGCCCATCACCTCGAATACCTCGGGAACGTCGATGCCAGCAGCCGTTCTGACGGCCTTCGGCAACACCGAGGAGTCGCAGGCGTGGCACTTAAACTCCATGGCCATCTTCAGAACCTGGATGCTCGCGCCCGGGCCCTTGAGAATCTCGAACATGGCTCGGACGCTGGGGTGGCCCAGGTTGCGATGAAGTCGGCTGAGGCGGTGCTCTATCTATTGGGCCTCCTTGGTGCTCAGCGCGCCGCCGTCCTTGGAAAGCTCCCTGAGGTCATCCTCGTCGAGCTCCTCGTCTGACGCCTGCGGTTCATTCATCTCCTGATCGCCGTCTTCGTCGATGCCCTCGAAGATGCCATCGTCAGTGTCCTGGTCCGTCGCCAAGAGAGCTGAGGTTCCAGCTGTAGTACCACCTCCGGCACGCAGAATGCGCTTCGCCCAGGCCTTGCACAACGCCTCGGGGTAGAACGCTGTGGCCGCTACCACCTTCCCCCCGAGGATCTCACCATGCTCGTGGTTGTCATGCCGACCAGGGCGATTACTGCAGCGCTTGCCGATGGCCTTCTGCAGCTCGGGGTCGGTAGAGCAAATCCTCCAGACCTTGGGTAAGAGGAGACCGCGGCGGGGGCAGCGAAGGCCGTAAGCACAGCCAGACACCAGCGACTCGTAGGTTTGCTCCCTGATGCGCTTCAGTGCCTCCGAACGTCCCCAGCTATGAGATCTCTGCGGCTGCTCCAGGTCGATCTCGGTCCCCTGGAATTGGAGCCCGACTGACATGATGGTCTCGCACCCAGCTTGTATCCGACGAGCCTGTTGCACCTTTTTACGTAGACGTTCGCAGTCCTCTGGGGTCTTCTTATTCCAGTTCTGGAGTTGGCAGTCCGCGGTGCACGGGGGACTCATGACGATGCGTCGAGGCCGACGTTGCCGAATCCACAGAGTAAGCCGTCGTACTCCAGTCTCCGTCGCCATGTCGAACCCGCTGTGTACCCCAGCTCGGAGGGCAGCTCCACCGAGGTCGATCACCGCCTGGGAGAGACGAGACTTCGGAGGCGTGCAGACCTCGAGCAGGTCGTAGCGGCCGTTGCGGGACAGAAAGTTCACGTCGTCGCCGATCTCCTTCGTGTAGTCCCGATCGTACTGATCGAGAGCCTTCTGCATGATGTCCAGGTCCTCGCTGGTCAGGGACACTCGCGCCCTCTCTTGCTGGCCATCTCCTTCTCGGGTGAGTCGTCCAGCATCTCGAAGGATTCCGAGGGCGGGTCTTTCGCCAGTCTCTTCAGGATCTTGGACAGCATCCGCCTCCACCTCAGGTAGATCACCTCGGACCTGCGCCGCCAACTGACCTCTGGGCTCGCCGGCCTGGGAATCAAGGGCTCGGGGGGGCCTGCTGGTGGCGGGTCGTTCTTCCGACGGGGTGGGCGGTAGTTCTGCGCGAAGTTCAGCGACGGGGACCCGGCCTCCCACAGCCGACACTGGTGGGTCTGGCCTCCCGTGCACGAACGCCCGTTCCGCTTGCGACCTGGTTGTCTGCAGCAGCCGCACCTCTGGCATCCCGGCGCCTTGGATTTGGCCGCCTGGACCATGGTGGAGGTCGGATTCGATCCAGCAGCCTTCATGATCACATCCTTTGGGGGTACAGAAGCGAGCTCGTCTTGTATGACCCTGGCCTCGGCCTGGATCTGAGCTGACGTCGGCGCGCCCCCCTCGGCTGTTGTCGGCAGCCTTGACGTGAAAGGAGTAGTTCTGCGATCTCGCGGATGCTCCGTAGTAGGGGATGGCGGCGGTGGCATACCCGGAGGCGACGAGATGGTGCCGCGGCGACATGACATCCGCTGGATATGGAAACGTAGATGAATATTGCGGATCTCCTCCTGATTGAACGCCCTTTCGAGCCGAAAGAGCTCGGTGCGCATCTAAATCATCAGGGTCGGGAGGAGGCTCAGATTGCCGTGTCGGGAGTTTCGTACTCGTACTAGTCTGCGCTCTTGGAGATGTCTCGGTTTCTTTGATCGTTGCTCTCGAACTCTTGGTCCCCGAAGATGGTCCCCAAGATGCCCTCGTAGGAGATGCTGTAGGAGATCTCGAGAGGCTTGGGGGTGTAGGAGCAGGCCCAGGGGGTGCAGCGAGGACATCCTGACCCCTGTCAGCGTCTTCGAGCTTCGGGAAGTCTGAAGATCTCTTGAGGGTGTGAGGCTTTTCTGGAGTCTTCTTGGGCCCCCCCGGTGGACTAGAGGAAAGAACTTTTCTCGGATCCACCAGAGGGTGCTGCCCCCAGCTCGAGGCCCCCGCGCCAGCCGCGGGCGCCAGCTCCAGCACCGCATCGTCCACGACCGCGGACGTCTCAGCCTCGTCCTTCATGGCGTTGCACTGTGTGATCCCGACGATGTTCGGGAGGCTGTGTGGGGTGTTCTGCCACCACGTCGGAGTCGTCACGTTGATGGCGAGGTGACCATTGGGCATCTTCCGGCACTGGAAGACGTGATGTGAGATCTTCGGTAGCATCAGGTATCCGTTACCGCAGTCGATGAGGGCGTTGGTATGATCAGGTCCCAGCACGTCCATGCCGATCAGCAGGGGCACCTCGTTGTCCATGATCGAGATCCCGATCTTCTCCTTGTCGTCACCGAGAAAGATGGCACCCGTCATGGTGCCCATCGAGCTCTTGCGCCTGCCGTCGCCGAAAGTGAAGTGTCGCGTCCGTTCCACCACGTCGAACAGTATGTTGTGCTTCTCCTCCATGTCGTAGATGAGGTGCTCGGCCATCGTCACACCAATGAGGCCCCTCGTGGCGCCGCAGTCAAGGATCGCCCAGATGCCGCCCGCGTCGTCCAAGAGGAGCACCAGGTCGCCGAGCTCTAGAAGCGCAGACGAGGTCGTCTCGTTGGGCTGTGGCTTGCCGCGGCCCTTCGTCCTCTCGGGGCAACCCTTCGCCTGGCGTCCGAACTTGCGGCAAGCTAGACATCTCATCCTACGCCTGTCATGCGCAGGTTCCTTGACCACCGTCCTGACGAGAAGATCGTTGACCATGGCGTAGTTGTCGAGGACGAGGGGGTCCCTCTGCCTGTCGAGGAGCGAGCACGGGGTAGTATTCTCTCGCCACCTTGAGCTTCCTGATGAGGTCCCTCGCGTCCTTGAAGTTCCTGCCCAGCTGCCTGAACTCCGCGTAGATGCCGTCCTCGTAGTCGTCGACAAGCTCGGAGTCTTCGAAGACGGTCGAGTCCTCCTCGCCCGCTAAGTTCACCAGCTGGTCCACGATGTCCGCAATCGCGGGCCTGTCCTCGAAGTCGTGGTTCTCCTGCTCGGCCTCCTCGGCGTCGCCGAAGAACCCCGCGCGCCTGTCCTTCTTCTCGCGGACGCCGTCGATCTCCTTTAACGCCTCCAGCGGGTACCTCGTGCACAGCGCTTTGTACGTACTGTCGAATTCGTAGTCGCCCCCCGCCGTAGCGGTGATCTCGCCCATGGCCACAGGGCTCAGGCGCGATCGGCGGAGGTGCCACCACGTCCTCAGCGGCGCTGCGATAACCTCCTCGACCGAGCTGTCCACCGCCTTCAGCTGCAACAAGAGGTCGCGCTCGTCTGCCTCCCAGCGCGCTGTCCAGTCGGGGAAACACTCGCCCGGCTCCCGCTGGAGCTTGTTGAAGAATTTCTCCGCAGAGTTACCCATCTCGTTCACGTTGGACAGGTCAAGCTTCGACAAGAGGAAGTCGAAGACGCGTTGCCATCGTGTCAGTTTGCCCTCGTCGGTGACTTCATCAATATTGTCGATGTCTGGGCACGCCTGTGCCAGTCTACGTGTTCTTGCCCCCAGAGCTCTCACCAGCTGGGGTCCCACCACGTACCTGTCCTGAACCTTATAGCTCTTGCTGAAGAGCCCGACGTCGAACTTGTATGCAAGCAGCTTGTCGGGCTCACCGTCCCAAGATGGGACGTCTAATCGGAGTGCTGCTGAACCGCTAGCAGCTCCTCCGGTCGTAGTCGCGCCACTCGGCATTGTTGTCGTCGATCGTGATCGCCACAAAGTAGACCGTTGTCGATCGTGATCGCCACAATGTAGACCGTGGTCGTCACTATGCTCTCGCTACCAATCTGAATACCAGGGCACCCAAGGGCCCTTCTCGTCACCGTCGTTCGTGACGTAAGTCTCTGAAGAGAATGAAGAATGTGATGCGAACCCTTTTCGCTGTGTGAAGCGGCGGCGCGCCAACCCGGGCCGTCCTGTGGCGGTACACCGCCTGCTATATAATACCCACCCGCCCACTGCCGAGCCAAACAGGCTGCAGGGACGGGAGACTCGAGCAGACCCCTCACGATATATCCATCATGAGTATCCTCGAAATCAGACCGGGGTGCCCCCGCTCCACGGGTTGGGAAAGGAACTATCGATAGGAAGGGGCTCCATGTCGACTCAAGTGCGACTTCAACTGCGACCTGGCGCGGTTCACCTCGAGTTGACGAGCTTGGCGCGCGAAAGAGGGTCATGAGCTGGGCGCGCCCAAGAAAACACAAAACGGGTTCTCCGATGACGACAGGAGCAGAACCCACCATCACACGCGCCTACGGGGTCGGCAAAATTTGACAAGGACGAGGGCCAGGAGGAGGACGAGGGGCAGGGCGAGGACCAAAGGCACCGACGAGGACGAGGGGCACGGGCGGGCACGCGCGCCGCAGCCAGAGGCCGCCCTGGTGGCTAGACCCCGCTGCCGCCGTCGCCGATTGCCTGCTCTCTCTCTCTCCGCCGCCGCCGCCGCCGCTGCTGCGGCAGCGGCTCGGCCGCCCCCGCCCGGCGGAAACGCCCCCCGCCCGGCGGAGACGCACGGTGCACCCCGTGGTCTACGCGCGGCCCCACGTCCGGTCCGCGCGCCGGGCGCGGGGCTCGGCCCCTCCTCCTCCTCCTCCTCCTCCTCCTCCTCTCCTCCTCCTCCTCCTCCTCCTCCTCCTCCTCCTCCTCCTCTCCTCCTCCTCCTCCTCCTCCTCCTCCTCCTCCTCTCCTCCCTCCTCCTCCCTCCTCCTCCTTCTCCTCCTCCTCCTCTCCTCCTCCTCCTCTCCTCCTCCTCCTCCTCCTCCTCCTCCTCCTCCTCCTCCCTGCTCCTCGCTCCTCCTCCCTCCTCTTCCTCCTCTTCCGTCCTCCCTCTTCCTTTTTCCTTTTCCTCCTTTCATCCCTCCTCCCCCTCTTCCTCCTGAGACGCTGAGACGCTGATGGCACTGGTGTTTTTTCGGACGCTGCCGCTGCCCCCAGGGAGGCCTGGTCGGGCCCCCTGGGGGGATGGACCCAAACAGAAAAGTTCGGGGCCAGGCCCCACTGATAAGGAGGGAGGGATGAATGAGGGGTCATAGCCATCATCATCATCATCATCATCATCATCATCATCATCATCATCATCATCAGCATCATCAGCATCATCATCATCAGCATCAGCATCAGCATCAGCATCAGCATCAGCATCAGCATCAGCATCAGCATCATCAGCATCAGCATCAGCATCATCAGCATCAGCATCAGCATCAGCACAGCATCATCAGCATCAGCATCAGCAGCATCAGCATCAGCATCAGCATCAGCATCATCATCATCATCATCATCATCATCATCATCATCATCATCATCATCATCATCATCATCATCATCATCATCATCATCATCATCATCATCCGTAGCCATTTTGGCTCAAGTCTCTAACCTGTGCCCTTGGGTTAGATCCTTGGCTGCTGCCGTCGGGGAGGCTCGGGTTTCCTGGGCGCAGCGCCCCTTTCTCACACACGACCCCTGTCGGAGACCAGCCCTGGTCGCGGCAGGCCCTTCGTATCATCGCCCGCCAGTTTCTCGGTCCTTCCCCGAGTGCGATGCCGGTCTCTCTCGAGAGTATCGAGGCCCTCCTGAAGGAGCAAGGGACATCTGCGCGGCATCAGGCCGTGGAGACCAAGGACACGCTCGACAGGTTGACGACGGCGGTCGCCGAAGCCCAAACCTCCACCAATCAGTTGGCGCTCCGCATGTCCGCGGCGCAGGACGAGAGGCTCGCCAAGCTTAAAGAGCAGATTCGACTTCTCCAGGACTCGCGGGACTTTCAGGACTGCGAGGGCGACCAGTACGGCGACGAGCAGATGGCCGAGGGAGGCCCTCGGCCACAGCGTGGTGTGTCGTTCAACATCGATGCCATCGGGAAGAAACTTGCCGAGCTTGCCGGGGTTCAGTCGGCTGCCGCATCGGCGGCCGCATCCACAGCAATTTCGGTCAGGTCATACCACACCTGAGCGGAAGCGCGCCCGCATGTTGGGCGGCAGTGTCATCAATCTAGTAGACGAGGGAAGGGCTCCAGATCGTTCCGAGATCCGGGTGCGAGGTTTCCCGCGGAAGCTCCTGAAAACGAAGTTGGACGAACCTTTCCTGACGATGAAGGACGCCCTCCCTGCCACCATTCTTTCCAGGTGCCAGGCGTGGACACGAAATATGCAGACGGCCTATGTGGTCAAATTCGAGACAGAGCAGGACGCCAACAGCTTCTACGACCAGTTCCGTGCGTCCCCCCCTCGTGGCGCGACCCGAGGTCTGGCATTCTCCACCAGATCCGAACTGGTCGTGATCTCCCGATCGAGGTCAGGAAGAGGAGCTTCGCGATGAACAAGTGCTGGACCATGTGCAAAGACATGCTGCAGGGCCAGAACCTGTGGAAACCTGATATGAAGTTGGGATGTAATCCGTTCCAGGGAGTGTGCTACCTCATCTATCACGACGAATCGTACGGGCTGGTCAAGTGCGCCGACTCCCTGGATGGCACGTTCACCTTCGAGCCGCAGTTCGCAGTGCTCCAGGAGATCGGGATCGCGAAGGAGATGGCCGAAAGTATCCCTGGACTGGTTCAACGTCTGCTCGGACAGTCCTCTTGATGGTGTACGTGGCAGGACGGTTGCTCGGAAAGATCGAGCGTGAACGTGTGTTCTAGTGAAATGTTCTCACGCTCGGTGGGTGAAGATAATTGCGGTTGTGAGTTTGATATTCTCGAGTCTGGTTTGCTCTCCCCTCCGCCTCTCGGAAGCGAAGGCGGCTGCCTGACAGCCGGAGGCGTCGCGGTGTTTCCCCCTGCCCTTCCTCCTCTTCCTCGTCCTCCAGCTCCTCCCCCCCCTCCTCCTGTGCGTTCCAGGTCAGAATGCCAGCGGCCCCTTTGATTTTCGCGAGCGTGCAATTTAGCCCCATGGAATGCAGGTGTCATTTTTGGAGCAGCGTCTGGTTCAGAGTCTCGCCAACGACGTGCCCTGGGGAAGGTCCGCGGCCTATGCCGCAACAGCGATGTTGTATTCTTGCAGGAAACATGGTTCGGAATCCGACTTGTCGAGTCTCGAGCGCGACTTTCCCGATTTTGTGCGCTTCGGCTCTTTTCCCTTCTCTCGCGCTGGCGGCGTGGCCACTTCCGTTCGCAAGACATTGGCTGCTGAATGTGAAGGTGCTCCCCGACAGCTCGCGATAGACCCTGGTCGGGCGCTCTCGCTCGCCTTCCACGGCCCAGCTGGCAGGGTCCAGCCAGTCAATGCCCACATCGAGCTGCGAAGGAGACACAGTTTGAAGATGCAGCTTCTCTAGTAAATCCGTCGGCTTACCTTGGGGCTCAACGCTGCTTCGGTTCTCCTGAGCGGTGATTGGAATTTCCCGGAATCTTGTGAGCAGCGGTATTCCATGGCTTCGGGTGAAGCTCCAAGGGTATCTGCGGCGTCTAGGCTAGGCGACCCATTTGATCGGCTTGTTCCTCAATTTGCTGAAGTTGAGCAGGGTGATCCTACCCGCAGATGCGTAGCCCATGAAGCTGTTGTTAGCGTTGCTCGTCTTGATAAGTGGTATTCTAACCTCCCCAGTCCAGTTCTTCTCGATGCGTCCCCTCGGGGCTTCGTTAGTGGACGCGCGCGCGACCGTCGTGAACCGTCGGGCCATGTCCCAGTCGTCCTCCAGCACCCCCCAATCGGTCTACCCTTCGCAAGCGACCTAAGTGGGTCTCGCTGCATCCTGAGTTCGAGGAACTCTTGAATGACGTTGCTTTGGAGGTTGGCCTTTCGAAGGGCCCTCGAGAGCGCATCCTGGAGATTAAGGAGTGCATGTTTGCGGTTAAATATAGGCTCTTGGAGAGGCTCGTCCGCGTTGGGCCAATCACCGACAGGCAGAAGGTCGCCGTGTGCCTGAAGCTTATGCGAGCCACCCAGTACAATAATCGTTCTCTGATTCGGAGGTGCATTCGGCCCTTACCAGTCCTCGCCCAGTTTTTCGATTCCAAGGCGAGTCCTGCTCCGATTATGCGGCGTGTCACAAGTATTTGCAGGGCGTCTGCAGCGACGCATTGCACGCTGAGATCAGCGACTTCTCTGCCGAGAACCCGCGCGCTTCGCGCGCAGATCGTCGCCCCTCTCAACTTCGATCTCCGCAGGCTGGCTCCCTACAGGTATTCGGCTCACTCTTTGTTACGTTCCTGACCCTGGGGGTGGAGAACTTGGGCCCCTGCCTAACAGCGCGGCCAAGCTGGTTAAACATTGGGGTTTGTGTGCGTGTGTGTGTGTGTGTGCGTGTGTGTGTGTGGGGGGTGGGTGGTGGGTGGGTGGGTGGGTGGGTGGGTGGGTGGGTGGGTGGGTGGGTGTGGTGTGTGTGGTGTGTGTGTGGTGTGCGTGGTGGTGGTGGTGTGGTGGTGGTGGGTGGTGGTTGTGGTGGTGGTGGTGGTGTGGTGGTGGTGGTGGTTGGTGGTGGTGGTGGTGGTGGTGGTGGTGGTGGTGGTGGTGGTGGTGGTGGTGGTGGTGGTGGTGGTGGTGGTGGTGGTGGTGTGGTGGTGGTGGTGGTGGTGGTGGTGGTGGTGGTGGTGGTGGTGGTGGTTGGTGGTGGTGGTGGTGTGGTGGTGGTGGTGGTGGGGTGGTGGTGGTGGGTGGTGGTTGGTGGTGGTGGTGTGGTGGTGGTGGTGGTGGTGGTGGTGGTGGTGGTGGTGGTGGTGGTGGTGGTGGTGTGGTGGTGGTGGTGGTGGT